CCCAAATCCCAGGCTCGGATTGCGGGGCCCGGAGCATTGAACTCTGCACCGGAGCCCGGATAACGCATGCGGAGGGGCAAAGACGGCGAGAGGGACCGTTTCCGCAGGCCGGAGAGCACCCCAGGTCGACACTCAATGACTCACTCACTCACTGTCTGCTCCAGTGTTGTCTTGTAGTCTTACATGCACGCGTGTTCGCAACCATGCACGTACGCTCGAGCGAGTGGTTGCTTCAGGAGCCCATTCCGATTTCAGAACATCGACGCCGTCAAACGAGCAATAAGCCCTGCAATGCCTCGACACAGCAGATACAACAAGATAACTTTCGAATTACCAGGACCGGACTACAAATCCCTGCAGCAGCATGTGCGAACTTCACGAACTTCTTCTTTTTGATTGGAGGTTTCATGATGGTTTTATGGGTGCTCACCAGGGGGGGTAAAGAAACACCCGACAGAGTTTTAGGTCCTTTCCAGGTCCTATCTACTCGATGGACACCACGAGCCCTCTTTCGCACAGTCTGCCTGGAGAAGCAGCTCGTCTGCCTCGACGGTGTCTCCCAAAGGCCGGCGATCCCGTAGGAAGTTCAGGGCAGTGTCTACCTCTCCGGGCTGAAGGGCCTTTTAGATGGTAGGTCTCACTATGAAGGTCTATTTTGGGGTCTTTTCTTAAAAAGGTGTCGTACGATTTTGGGGACCTAAATGGGAGACCCCAGTTTAGAGACCCATGCACATCTTAGTGTCAAGACCCTCACTTGCACCGTGCTCGTCGGCTGGAGGTCCTGCCTTGTCCTCCCCGCCAAGGGATGAAGCGAGCCTGGGACTTATGCGCCCGTGCCGTGCTTGTGCTCGCGGGGTACCCAGGGCTCTGCAGCACTCTACGATCGGGGTGTGTTTGCGGGGTGTGCTCTACTCATTCCAGTTCCGATCTAATTTTAAAGGGGGGGGCTTCTCGGAGTCGCTTGCGACCAAGCTGCGCCGCTCGGAGCTTGTGGGCCTCCTCGGTCGCTTGGACCTCGGGTAGCGGCACCAAGAGGGCCTCTGCCTCGGCAATCAGCTGACGCCACTCCGCAGTGCTGGCGAAGCCGTGCTCGCTGTGTGAAACGTTGTCGGCACTGTCTCCAGGCTCTTGGAAGTCCTCCAAAAGATCGAGGTCGCGCTCTCCAGAAGAATTGCTTTCGGCACCTACTTGGACAGAGTCGCTCTCGAAGTCTGAAGCGTAGGAGCAGCCTTCTGTGTGGTTGGACGTGGCTCTGTGGGGCGCTGACACAGATGGACTCCTGGAGACCCCGAAGTCGTCCTCCACCAGGCCCGGAAGGCCAGGCGTGCGAGCACTCGCGCTGCCAACCTGCATAGAACTTCCCGTGGCACTCAGCTCTTGGCTCTTTGCCCAGGGGGAACCCAAGTCGCTGTCCGATGGCGAGGCCGCGTCAAGCTGGTCCACCAAGAAAGGCTCCGTGACGGCACTCTGTGCAGAATTTGGGGGTCCACCCGTGGCGGCTTCTGGAGCGAAGTGCAGCTGCCGGAGGACAGGAATCGCCCGCCGGGCGAGGCCGACTGCCGTGCCGGCAGCGGCAGCAGTGCCCGTGGAAGCGCGGGGCTCCGAGGTGGACGTCCGTGGCTTCGCCCACTTCCGGTCTCCCACAAGGCTGTCCAAACTTTGCAGGAAATCATGGAAAGGGTCTCGCAACAGATCAGACCGCAGAAGCTCCCTGTTTGAAGGCCTGTTGTGAGGCTTTCGAGCCAGTAGGCCTTCCAGCGTCGCAGACAGAGGTGGGCTGTATCCACCAGGAGCCTGCACGGGAGGTGCATGCAGCACAGCGCTCACGACTGCTGCATAAGAGTCGCATCGCCCTGCAAATGGAGGCTCCAGCGCCATCATCTCGAAAAGAACGCACCCGAGCGCCCACTGGTCCGTCTTGCTGTTGTAAGGCCGACCTTCTAACATCTCCGGGCTCATGAACGCAGGGGTACCTACAATGGACCGGCGCAGATCCTCGGTGTGCTCGACCTGTCCCGCAACTCCGAAGTCTGCCAGCATGACTCGCTTGCCGTGTTGGGCCAATAAGACGTTCTGTGGCTTCAAATCTCGGTGAAGAAACTTCCGAGAGTGCAGGTGTTGAAGACCCCAGGTGAGCTGCGCAAGCCAGGAGAGGATCAACATCTCTGCGATGTGTGCCCGGCCGAAGCCGTCTCTGCATCCGTTCAGCTCCCACTCCAGTCGAACCCTGAGGCATTCCTGCCGTAGATCCCGGTCACAGCGGCTCATGACCAGGCAGAGGATATCTTCGGAGGGCAGAGAGGGTGTGGAGCGAACAAGGAAACTTTCGAGATATGGGACAATGCATGGATGTCGCATGGAAGAGAGGAGCCGCACTTCGCGCAGAGCGTTCTCTCTGTCCGTATCTGCGACCCATGGCAGCTGCTTCACTACTCGCAGTTGACCCTCCCGATCTTTGACCTCGTAGACCCGGCTGTTGCAGCCACCGCCTTGCCCCAGGACACGCATGACTGAGTAGCCATGCTCCTCCATGGCGCTGGCCCGCCCATGAGGCCGGGGTCAGACGGGCCGCTACCGCCCAAACCATCCCTCAGCCATCGTCTCAGCTGCACAGAGATCGGTTTCTGATTCAACATCAGGTCATTGTGCTGCAGTTAGCAGCAACGTTTCTCACTGCCAATAACCTCAGAATCCCTGAACCCCGCATACCTCCTGACATGGCAGCAGCACTGTCCGGAGTCCAGGACCCCGCTGAGGCTCTTCGTCATGGGAGGCTGACCCCGGCCAAAGACGCCCAAGTCAGCCGCACCGGCCTTCCAGCCAAGTGAGCGAAATCAAGTGCGACTGGCAACCACAGTCAAAAGCAGTTGGTGACAGCAGGCTGCAGAAGCTACATAATATAACGCTGTGCAGAGTACTGTTGCTGGCTTAAACCGTATGATGCACCTTCTAGACGGACTCCGACCGACACAGCGACGAGATGAGTTCTCGCGAAGAGGAGCAGAAGGGATCCTCTGATTCAGTTCAGTTCTGTCAGAAATCCTTACTCCTCTCCGGCGCTCGAATCGTATCTTCTGCCTCGGGGGTACCCCGCGTCTGCGTGGTCGCCCGTCGCTCGCGGCCGCGACTCCGCGCCGCATCATTGGCCTCGACTCTTCAGGGTCCCGAGCCGACTGCCCACTCCTCACAGCGCTGACACTCTGACATGCCCTCCTCCTCACATGGAGGCAACATCTGAGCTGGCAGTTGGTTCTGGGGACTGATATAGACTCATGGTGGCAGACTCGAGCTTTACCGTCAGACCCCAGAACGCCAGACCCCACTGCTTCGAGGTCCCGTTGAAAGAAGGCCCAGTTACAAGTGTATGTTCAAGCCGGGAAAAGCGAATCCGTTCCTCGAGACTTGCACCCGATGCTCGAGAGGGTGTGCAAGTATCCAGTGTTATCATTTTTGGAATGGTCTTGCAATCGAGTCTGTGATGTGCTTTGAGGCTCAGACCAACGACGGACGCTGCGCCTTGGACACTGTGGCGCGAGCTACAGCATTTTCATTCTCGCGTCCTTCTGTGCCAGATGATGCAGATCCACATTGCAAACTGAAGCAAGCTGGCGCATCGTAAAACCGCACAGCACGCTGGGCAACTGGCACGCGGTTCTACTCTGGCGGATGCCCAAGTGCCTCTGGCAAGATCCAGGAATCAATATCACTGTGATCTGGCCTGGGGTCTCATCAGAGTCTAAATGTAGAAGAGACCGTGTGGACAACCGAGACTCAGAGCTGTCAGTTGCGAATGTGTGAGAGGCTGCATAAGACCTGGTTTGCTCTCACGTACAAGAGGCTAGCTGCAAATGCATGCCGTCCAAAAGTGGTCCACCAGTATACAGAGTATGTTCCATTGCTGCGGCTTGTCATCAGTCTGGATTCCGGTGCAAATACCCCGAGCCGTGGGAATCATCCTTCTTGCAACATTCCTCCAGCCTCTCCTTTGCTCCGGTATCTTTGGCTGTACACGACGGCTATGGTTCCGGACTGATTATCACTGTTTCTGGAGCCTTTCTTGCAAGTGTTTTTTTTTTTAAAGTGGGGTTTAGTAGAGTCTAGAGGATGTATAGCTTGGCAATGAAGCTCATCGCAAGAGCGCGCGCGACTGGTACATACACAGAGAAGAAGGCTTCTTGTGCACTGCCTCCAACGACTTTCGCTCCGAGAGCCTGGCAGGGAGAAGTTTTGCGCAATTCAGACGTCGTGTTCCGTTGTGTTCCGCCCCCGGGTTAACAACTGCACATCATAGAAACAATGTGTCCTGTCATGATACTTGACACTGGCTGCCCTTCTTCTGCAAGGCGCAAGGGACGAAGGGGTTGGGCAGGCATGGCTACACCTCTACACGCCAAGCTCCTGGCCGTACTTACAATACAAAAATTACAAGCATTAGCGAAACGATGCCCTCCCGACCCCTCTTTACAACTACAGGCACATTTCGGAGAGCGGTGCGCCTGGTCGCTGCTGGTCTTGCTGCCAGTGCGTGCTTGGTCACCCGCCATCTTGCTAGCAGGTCGGCTACCTGAAAGATCTAGCAGCAAGAAGACAAGGCTACGATCCAGGCAGACATTGCATTCTGTGAGTATCTTTCAACAACATCGTGCAAGATTAAAGCCGGAATTACAGGATCTGTGCGCATTCGCCTGATGAACCTGCGGTGCTGTCAACAAGCGGCAGAACTCTTTTCCTTTCGAGTGATCAGCGTACGCCGCCACTTTCACCCTGCCTTTGGCCCGCTTTGGGGCTGGCCTCGACAACAAAACAGCCGACAGCAGCAACTGCAGTGGGCCTCCGAAATCGGAGCCATCGAAGGCCTTCCCTGCTTGAATCGGAAACCAGAAGCCGCGGGTTTCCGGCTTCATCCAAGCGCAGTGCCTTCAGTTGGGAGGGATGCACCGGGACCACTGTGTCCAGCGTCAGCTTGTGTCCGTTGTCCTCGAAAACCAGCAGCCGGCGGTCGCTCTGAAGCAAAGCAAAATAGCCGCCGTTTGCAACCACTTTCAAAGCTCGCGCTTGCAGGAAGAGCTGTTTGCTCCTGTGCATTTGTTGCGCTTGTTCTCCTTGGTCCTTCAGCAGCGTTAGCTGATTCTCATGTACTCGGATGAAGTCTGGAACTGCAGCAAAAGAATGCTTTGACGCAGGTCTTGTCGCAAGATCCCCTGCTTGTGAGCTCTCCATGCCCTGAGTGCTCTCCCGCCGCTCCACTCGTTCGACCGGTTGTTCAGCGCCTGCCGGCCCCGGCCCGGTGTCGGCAAGCACTGGCACGGGAGTAACGCGTCTGCGCTTGGTCGCCATGGCATACAGAACCGGAAGCTTTGGCACGCTCGCTTGTAATAAACGAAACCAGGTGAACAACCCGGGACAACGCATTCAGCCGTGACGGCTTGTCATGCTTTGACATGGGATCGGTTCTGGTTGGGATGTCAGTTCAGGGGATTTCTGGCTCTTTGAGGATGCATGACTGGCCTGCATATCGCAGCGAGCACCACTTTTCCAGCACACCCTCATCCATGTGTACAAGAAACGGAGACAGAGCGAGAGAGAGACAGGGATCCATCAAGTCTTCTAAACTGACACCCGCCAAACCCGACATCTTGATCCCTAGTCGAACATCCAAAGCTGATCCCACAACGCAAGAGCTCCAAACCCGATGCCCTGACAGACAGAAATCATCTCACACTACCATTTTGCACTGATGCTTTTCTTTATCGTCTTTGAAGTGAAACGGTATCATCCCTTTACAACTCCTGAATACCGAGCATCTTAAACCTTAAAAAACCTCAAGACCCGAAGCGAAGCTCGTCCAAAACACCCGCCGCCAGAAAGCCCTGGATATCTCGGAGGATCACTAGCAATCCTAGGCATACCCATGAGAGTCATGAAAAGGTGACCCAAAGATTCCGAGGCTCTCGCCTCCCTGACTCGGCTCGCGCTCTTTGCTCGCACGCCCGACCTGGCCGCAAGAACCGCAGAATCTCGCGTTGAAGAAGGTCCAGAGCTGTTGTTGGCTTTGGGAGCCCGATGCCCCCGAACTCGCAGCCAGGATTTCAGGACAATTTCGAAGATCTGTTGTGGGTGAAGCGTAGAGGTGACATCAATTAGCGAGCTGCCAGTTCCGCAAAGGGTCGCCCAACTGCCCCTGGAGAAGGCTCATGCTTCAAACTTCAGGACGACCGTCTACGCCAATGCCGATGCATGCTATGTACGAAAGCGATGAACCTCGACTCCAAGTGAATTGGTGAAGAACTTTACAGAGGCCTTGCAAGTTGAATGGCTCCACACATGGAGGTGAGGGACGCTTGCTGTATCTCTACATAACCATCAGATTCTTACATATTATCACATAGCATCACGATCTCGTACATCTGCGCACACCTGATAAAGTATTTATCGTATGACTTGCTGTCTGCAGTTCTGGAACCCGCAGCGGCCTCATGAGCCCAAAATTCAACTCAATTCGGGCAGATTTCGGTCTCTCAAGCACCCGAAACATGCCAGCTGAACGCTTGAGCTGGCACCGCTCCCTGCATCGCAGATGTTTCTCGGTTATGTTGTAGCTTGGAACGGGGGCGGCCGGCCCTGTGGAGTTAAGAACGTCATGCCGTTGAAGCCGAGCTCGCGACACGACGGAGGTTCTTTCTGAACGAGGCGAGTCACCGAGGCGGGTCCGGGGTTTGATGTGGTTTCGTTGTTGGTATCAGCCAAGACAGGCAGATGAAACGGACGCTGCTATGGTTTTGGCGGTCTTCACTGCGGCTTCAAGGTGCATCATGTCCCGGCACCTGAGAACCCCTCCAATCCCCCATCGGCCTCGGCATGGGGTGCTGACAAACCCGTCGGCAAGGCTGCCCTCAAGCGGCGTCGAGGCCTGCCGCATCGGGTGGGGTCCCATGACTTGGTTTTAATTTGTGGGCAGCTGTAAACGCTTCTTAGTTACGAGACGACTGACCTCGCAGTGTTGCTCTCAACCAGAGTCTGAACTGCTCACTTTGCCTTTTGCGGTAGCCCTGCACGGGAAGGCGGTCGCGGACCCCAGCTCTCCACCGGAATGGGTTGCCTTGGCACGCCATGCATCAGGCTTAGCAGCGTTTTCCCTCAAACCTGGCCCACGAAACTCATCACATCCACCCCACAAGCTCGCATAGCCTACGCCCAAGCTTCCTCTGGGCTTGCTGCCGGGTCTTGCGCTGCTCGAAGGCATCCGTCATTCTGACAGCTTAGTGGAGCTTGGAGCTTCGCTTTTTATGGGGGGAGGGGGCTTGTTCGAAAGGTGAACACTCTTCCTGTCCTTGGGAGCGGGAGACTTTACCAAACCATATTATTCCTTGACTACACAGTGTATTCAGAGCCTCTGCCTATGAGCTTTCGCATACGATGCACCTCGAGGGTCCCGCGAAAGCTCCGAGTCCCGCTGCGGCTGAGGCGGACGGGTCCTAGCGCTCAGACCACGAAGTGAAATTTACGACACAGGTCTTTATACTGTTCTTCTCCATGTGCAATCTGCTGCCTCATGTGACGTGGGACTATCGTATGAGTCTTGAAGGATTAGCGGCGGTGGACGTGTCAGCCTGCCTTCTTTCGGCTGGCTGGTCGCTTGAGCTCTTGGGGAAAATCGTGCGGCACCCTCGGCACCTGGCAGGCGATGCTTGAGACTTGACGGCGCACCTGGTGCGGAGTGCCTCGTACGCGGACGGACCTCTGCAGTACTTCTTAAGGCGCAGTGCCAGGATCACAAAGAGTCAACACATGCGAGGCTGCACGTCGTCTATGTTCGAACTGCCGGTGGCATCCTGTCCAGAGACAGCCGGCTATGAATCTGTCCGTTGTGCGAATGGCTCTGGCTGAAAGCAGCACATCTGATCGCCATGAGCCAACCATAAACGCCATACTCCATAGCAACAGACTGGGGTCTGCTCCAACTGCTTAACATCTGCGCAAAATAATGACCAAGCTGTCTGTCACTGATCGCTCCATGCTACCCGGCGCCTCTTCCACATCATCCTGGTCGCACTTGAAAGCGAAAGCACTGGAACTAAGCTGCAATTGTCAGCTAAGTGGCGACCTGATGTTTACTTTTGGAGGGGCACGGACTGTCTTGCATCACCTCCACCTGCCAATGCCTTGTCGACTTCTTCGACTCGCATATTTGTGGGTGCTGGGGCAGGGGTCAACCATCACTACTGTCTACTTTCGTAGAAGCTTGCACTAGCTCATCGTACTCCCATCAGTTTAGATGTTCATAGACCGTTGAACATCTTCCTCAGGTGTACATCGATCAACGACCCAGCTTGAGGAGCGAAAGCTCGGGCTGTGCCTCAAGGGAATAGTTGTCCAACGCCGAGGCTGAAGGAGTTGGAGCCACGGTGCCGATGCTACCTCAGGTCTGGTGCTTTGCGGTTGTTCAGCGGTGTTTGTGAGGCTGGCATCGCCAACTCATTGATGCAGCTCCCCAGCTGTAAAGCCAATGCCTAAAACCAAGTTTACATCCTACAGGCAAAATATTTGTGGGCAGGACCATGCATCAACGTTTGCCCTGAATCTCTGCCTTTGGTGAGGCTTTGCCGCTGTCTCTCATGGTTTACCACCGTGCCAGCTCTGGATGACGAGCAGAAGTACCATCACACGCTGTCAGCTTCTGCTGCAACCGAGTCGCTTTGAGGTGCTTCCTGCGATGCAGAGGAGATAGACCTCGGACAGTTCAGAGATGCACCATCCCCAAGATACGACCTGAATAAGGCAGCGGTTCACGGCAGCCAACCGCCTAAACTGAAGCCTCAACCTTCAGAGACACCCTCCATGGCACCTGTGCTGATTTTCAGCGCTGCGGATTCTGCGTTGGGCATTCTCCGCCTCAGCGCAGAGCCGTTGACGCTATGCATGCCTGCTGGGTCCCATCTGCAATCTGGTCCACGCGAAATGACTTCAACAGTGGAAACAAAGGAAGCGCCAGGTGACGAAGAGCAAAGTGGGGATATGAACACGAGGCTTTTGATCGATGCTTTTATTTGCCCCTTCAGGTCTATGCGCAGCAACGACAGCCCTCCAGTCCCACCCGAGTTTGGCAAGCCACACTCCGGGGCTCGTCCAACGCAGCACCTCAGGCAAACAGGATCTCTGTCCCGATTTCGTATCCGATGTTGCCTTGAAGCATCTGTCGAACACTGAACTTGCGGTCTATGTTCGCGGAACTTGGCAGGCGCCAGCATCAGCAATTGTGCGACAAGCTGCTGGCACAGTCTGAGCGCCCGGCCGTCGTGAAGATTGCCTTTTGCATAGGGCCTGTTACGAGGAGCAGTCAAGTGGCCATCTTGCTAAGCGGTGCCGCAGACACAACGACAGCGAAGCAAGACATGCTTTTCCTCGCTGCCAGGTGTCTTCGATAAGAACGCTTGAGCTGCGGCATGCATATCTTCTTATGCAGGCGAAAAAGGCCTGCCCAAGAGCGATACGATTAGACACATGCGACCCCCAAGCCAAAACCCTGATCGAGATCTCAGATTCCATATTGATACTTCAGGAAGTGAACCCCGTCGGAAGTTGAACCGCATCGGATAGGTGGCCTCTGCACGCTGCGGTTCATCTGCTGGCGCAGACTGCGCGAGGCAGCCTGGAGGGTTTCACCCAAAGCTTTCAGTTTCAGAGGTTGTTGGCATGCAGCCATGTTGGCTTTATAGCTTCGCCTGTGGATGACTTCAAGTCTTATGCAACCTCGTCTGGCCTACTTATGAGGAAGATGTGAGAAGCAAACGTGTGCCTGCTGCGCCAACGGACTATACATGAAGCCGAACCAAGATCGCTGTGCCACTCGACGTGACGGCTCACTTTCTGCTGCCGGTTTCCTCAAAAGCTCTAAGACGCACCCGCCTCGATCATGGAGGCCCGATCCATCATTCCCGAGGCCTGGCCAAGCATTCCAGTTCGAGCTTGAGGAGCTCAGCTTCATTCAGCATGACTCTCACTTGCAAGGTGGTTGAAACATGCTCCGCAGGCGCGCTAGCTGCAGTGTAGCCTCGGCAGGGTGCTATCAGTCGTAGACGGGGAAGCACGGTTTCTGCCGTCCTTGCTTTCTCGGCTGAGGTCCCAAGCCAAAGCCGCCGTTGCATAGAGCAGGGCAAGCCACCTCGAAACTGCAGTGTGTCGGTGACTGCGTGTCTTGAACCAATTTCCTTGCAAAAATGGCAACTCAATCGGTAAGTCACCGAACAGCTCCTCTTTGCCACTGCTTGCTCTGGGGCTGCTGCCAACCCGTGTGCTGAGCCAGGTGAAACACAAACTAGGAGGGCACCGCCAGGCCGCCAGGGATGGGGTCGAAAGCCAAAGTCTGCTTCGACTCTGTAGGCAAAGGCTGCAAAGACTTATCTTTCGATACGTGGGCTTGAGGGTGGAAGGCTTGGGAAGCTTGTCGCTCTGGCCATGTAGCTGCAAGTGCCCGAGTTGTGCCTGGTAGGCGTGCGCATGCAAGCATGAGGGGGGTTTACTGGGAGTTCAGTTTAAAACATTGCTTCTCATCTATGCGCTGGGCTTGGGCCTGAAGCAGCAATTGCGAAGGACCATGTGGAGTTCACCTCGCAGGTCCGTATGTGCCCGTCCCTCGACCCAACATGTCAAGTCAGGCCTGTAGCAGCATGAATAGCTTCTAAATCCGCATACACCAGCAAATTCCTGCAGCCCTGGATGATTTTTTTGCGCTTCCTCGCAAGAGCAAAACTGCTTCCGAGGCCGAACGAGCTGAGCGTCTGCAGCTGTCAACCGCAGGCTTCTATGGCGTGAAAGATCGTGCAAGCAGTCGTATTGCAAAGTCACGACTTTCATCGACGCCATAGACTTGTATGAGAGAGCTGCCTTAAAAAGGCCTCAGGAGACAAGGGCCAATTTCGCATAGTGAACTGGCGATCGAAGGAGTTGGGTCACAGCGGTCGCGTGTGACATCTCCGGCCCTCCACAAGCCACCCTTCGCCATCACAGCCGGTCGGTGCCAGATCGGAATCGCTTGTGTGGAGGTCCAGAGTGCGCATCTGCTCCAGGCATGCATCTTGCATGTCCGGATTTGCGGGCGAAGATTCGGCTCACGCCCTCACCGGCACAGGGTCGCCAGCTGGGCCCTGGCGCAGAAGTCAGGACATCACCTCATATTAGTCCAGCGCTTCTCTAAACGAGGACGAGAACAGTGGGTAAGACATACTTATCCCTGCACTCGACGATATTATCTCCCCCGCTCGAGCCCTTGTACTACGTGAGCTCTTCTACCAATTTCTTCTCTGGGGTTGCAGTGGAGAAAGCTCCGCTGAAGAGTCCCATGTTTCGTGGCATTTGCAACTGCCTCGGCTGGCTGCAGGTACCTTGCGCGCAGGAGTGATTGAAAAACACAACCACATCGGTAAACAACCAAACACATGTAAATGCATGGGCAAGTAGACAAGTGATTCTGTGACTCATGTACATGCATGAGCGCAACATCCCACACACGTATGTATGTATGTATGTA